TCCGCTTCCGTTCCCGTAGCCCGTAATCTGAGTCACATCTCGATTCTTGAGCGTTTCGTTGGGTTGGATATGTAGATGGTGCTGCAGTTGGAGTCGGAGGATTCTTCGGTGGGGTTTCGTTTCGTGTACGAGATTAGGGTTAGCATTTCTTGTTCCATTTGCGCAACCTGAAAGATTTGAGGGTTTTTTTTTTTCCGTAACATCGAAAACGAAAAAATAAGGGGTATATTAGGGCTGCATGCTGTGTTTTTTTTTATTTTTTTTCAAGAAAGCAATAAATGAAGTCTACAGTTGATGTAGCATAGATTCATGATTAAATGCTAATATATATATGAAGAGAACAAGAATTCAACACATATAAAGAACATATAAAAAAATAAAAAATCAAGAATGGGATATACATACAAGAATGAAAATATATACATACAATATATATGATCTTACCAAGAAATTTCTGAAACTTCTGAAGGAAAAGTAAACAAGAGAGAGGAGTTTATATATATATTTTTAATAACATGAAAAAAGCAGGTGAAAAGTCTTGTGTATATATATATATATGTGTGTGTATGTATATACAGAAATTGAAAAAATCATACCAGATGAGTTTGAGCATATGTAGAGATCTCAGGCTTATAAGAAATGGAAAAATCCCTTCTTTTTTATTTATTTAATTATTTTTTTCAGGAGAGATTTTGGGAGGAAAATCAGTCAATCAAGGATTCTTCTTTTTTTTCTTATGGAAAATGGATAATTTCCATTTCATGCCAAAAGTTAGTTGAAATTTAAAAAAAAAAAAAAATAATATAATCAGCAAATTAAAAACTAGTAATTAATATTTCTTGACAGCCAAGAAGTTCTAAACCTAAAACCTCGAGAAACTGTCTTAAATAAGACAAGACAGAATCCAAAGAAAATATTTCAACTGTTTTCATTTCTATCCTGATATTTATTTATTCATATAGGGTTTTATACATATATCTCATTTTTTTATGTTTTATTTTTTATTTTTTTATTTTTTTATTTTTTTATTTTATTTTTGGTCTTAAATCTTGTCCATTTCATGTGTCTCTCCGAGATTTTTGCTGTCCTATTTTATAGGAATATCTAGATATATTATTATTGGTTCTTTTTATTTATTATTAAGTAGTAGATACATAATTGCTAATATTAGTCCCACGTGCATTATTATTACCTTAAAATTTTAACAACTTTCCTAAGTTTGCATAATCTATTTTTCTTGACAATTTTATTTCACATGTGATGAATATCTGTATAAGCTGGCAGATTTGATTATATTCCACGTCATCTTATTATATTCCCTATAATTAGTGTATGGGAAGAAGTATTCATGCGTTTCTTGTGACATGATTTTATTGATCAAATAATTTGATCTGGTATTTTATCTATTCAGAAAATAAAAGAATCATAAATATTTTTAATTTTCAGATAATAAATAGGTTAGCAAAAATAAATCATGACTTAAGGGCTTGTTTGGTTAATCTTGATTTCGATTAACCAATCTATTATGAAAAAAAAAAAAAAATCGATTTCGAAAAATACAAATAAATGATATAATGAGTGTTGTTGCTTGTAGGAACTGAGCAGCCAGCAGGAGTACTTGAAGCTTAAAGCTCGTTACGAAGCCCTACAGCATTCTCAGAGGTACGTATATATATATTCCGATTTTCTATATATTAAATAAAAATAAAAATATTTGAGGTAATAAATAAATAAATAATAATGGAATTTGAAAATCGAGCAGAAACCTTCTCGGAGAGGATCTCGGGCCATTGAACAGCAAGGAGCTTGAATCACTTGAGAGGCAACTTGACATGTCACTTAAGCAGATCAGATCAACTAGGGTTTCTACTTTTAAATAACTCGTCATTTCTTCGAACTCGTCGTGAAATTAAACGCATGCACGACTTTTGAACACGTTATTTAATTTTTTTGCAGACCCAAGCAATGCTGGATACCCTCACAGATCTTCAGAGGAAGGTAAATATATATACATATATATGTATCTTTTTTTTGAACACGTTAATTATTTCCGTCGTCTCGTTTATTTATTTTATTTAATTTTTTGGGTATATATCATATTATATATGCATGGTTGTTTAAAATGATTAGGAGCATGCACTGAATGAGGCTAACAGGAGTCTGAAACACCGGGTACGTACGAACGAACGAACGAACATCCTTTCATAAACCGAACAATTACGTGAATATTAGTGAAAGAATAAAGATTTGAAAATAATAAAAGGGATTTAAATATATTAATATGTGGTGTACATGTAAATGAATGAATGCAGTTGATGGAAGGAAGTCAAATAAGTCTGGAATGGAACCATAATAATAACGTTGACCATGACATGGGCTATGGTAGAGAAGCGCCACCTCAGCCTCATCAGCCCGATGGCTTCTTTCATCCCCTCGACTGCGGTCTGCAAATCGGCGGGTAATTAATTACTATAATACGACGACTTCTCGATACATAATTATATACATATATTGTTAATTAATGAATTTAATAACGCAGGTACCAGGCAGATCAAATAACAGGAGCAGGGCCAAGTGTGAATAACTACATAACAAGCTGGCTCCAGCAATAATCGAGTTCCGACCGGGCCGAAATGGATCGGATCTTGTTGCGCATGCATGCATGCATGCTCTAGTCGTTTAATTTCTGTCTCTCATAATTAAAAAAAAGTACTCTTATCTGAGAAAATTTCAATTTTTATGTGTGTTTAATTTCATAAAATTGCATGTTTAATATATCTATTATATATATATATATATATATAGTAGCTCGGACTTATTTTCAGACGACGACCGGTGGTGGTGGTTGAACAATTCGTATAACTTATTTTCTCTGTCATGAGGTTTCTTTCTTTAGTTTGTAGTTCATATGCAGACTATGTAAAGAAACACTCTTGCTTCCTATTCAATTTTTCTACTACTACTGTTATTATTATTATTGGGAATTGCTTTTTGCTGTTTGAAAATTGTTATTCGCAGTTTATAACAAAACCCCCCAAAAGAACACTTTATTTCACTAAAACCCCAAAACTTCTAAAAAAAATCCAAAACACCCCCCAAAATGCGTTAAAGCCCAACTTGGGCGCCCATTCATGCAGTGAACGCCCAAGTTGGGCGTGCAAGCTGCATTTGGGCGCCCGAGTTGGGCGTCCAGTGCAATTTTTTTTTTTTTTTTTTTTTAAATGTTCAAACGCCCAAGGCGTATACGAACTCCCGGAACGGGCATACACTCCTTGGGCGCCCATCTTGGGCGTTCGAACATTTTTTGCGACAAAAAAGCCCTACAAATCGATTTGTAGGGATTTTTAGCATGAAATTGGTTCCGTAATCGACCTACCCAATGCATATTACACATAAAAGGGTCGAAATTACATCAAAAAATCGAAGCCCAACTCTTCTTCAAGCTTGATTTCGAATTTTCGAATTTTTTTTTTGCTATTTGCAATTTTGGGGGTTTTTGGATATTTTTAAAAGTTTTGGGGGATTTTGTTATAAACTGCGAATAGCAATTTTGTGACCGCAAATAGCATTTCATTTATTACTATTATTATTATTTTCTTCTGCCTGCAGTAAAGATTAAAATAGACTAAATTTTACTGGTCGACCTTTTAGGGTAAAGTTATATATATTACTCCCTCCATCCCAAAATCAAACAAGTGTATTAATTTCGTAAGTCAGCCCCCGCGCGCTCGGCCAGTACGAGCCCATGGGTGAGCTGGGCTCGATATTACCCTTCAGATTCGGGTCAGCCTGTGGCCCGCGACCGGCTGGTGGTGTAATTTTCCTTTACCATTTTACTTTAATGAATTATGCTAGTTATATTTCACGGTACTTATCGACCGTTTAGCGCTTAGACTTGGCGGCCTTCATTTCAAATATTAGATGTTATTATATTACTGTAATGTAAAAATTTAGGCTGCGGCTATATGCAAGACTAATTTCACTTGTGTAAAACCAAATTATTCTTTTCAATGTATAAATACTATAATACCCGTACTTGTTACAAAAAAAATAGAAAATTCCAAATGTGCAATACCAAAAACTTCAAAAACACAAAAAACCCTATCACAAAACCACAAGACCAACTCCCATCTTCTCCATCTTCCAAAACCCACAAAACCTTTCTCCTTCCTCCTCCATAAACCCACAAAACTTAAAAATTCAAAATCATCAAAACTCAACAAATCTTACAAAGATGGCAAGTATGGAGTCAGAAGACATCAAAATAGAAGATTTTAAACCCAAGAAGGTATGCATTTATGTGTTTAGAATATCGTTTTTCCAAAAAAAATCTCGCGGAGACGCGGTCGACATGTACAAGTCGAATTTTATAGGTAAAAATCGACGTTGAGATGTCGATTTTGGAGTATATAATTCGACATTTCACAATATCGAATTTGTGAGATGAATTCAACATCTCAATGTAAATTTTTACCTATCAAATTCGACATCTCAATGTCGATTTTTACCTATCAAATTTGACATACTTTTGAAGTCGAATTTGGGTCTTTTTTTCGACGCGTGGTGTGTCGATCGACGCTTTGGTGTCGATTTTTACCAATTTCAATTTTTTTTCCCTTTTTTTTCGAAGGTTGAAGAAAATGAGGAATTAACAATTGACTACTCTGGCGGCGACGGTCGGCGAGGAGCTTGCGGCGGTGGAGCTGCTGTGTCGATGGGGAGGGTTTCGGGGGGGGTTTCTCTATTTTTAATTTAAGTTTTTTTTTTACAATATTTGTTATTTGGTCTTGCATGCACAAACAAAAACCAATATAATTTATGGGTATATTTGTCATTTCATCTTAATAAAATAGAATCTTTTGAAATCTTTCTTTAATTTGGTCTTGCACAAGTGCAATTAGTATTGCATATAACCGCATCCTAAAATTTATTAATAGGATTAGAAGTGGTTAAGTGTTATAATGCTAGATTTGATATATATATGGGCAAATGGCAAAGAGAGACATGATAAAGGACTTAAATGCACATTAGTCCACACTAAAAACAGTCTTAATAAACTCATCCCCATGTCTTTAGTCTAAAATACCCTCAATAATATAATTTTTTTATCAATTCCATCATTATACTCTAACTTCCTCAATATTACACATTTACCCTGAATTTAAACAAATATATCACATTAACCCCCCATTTTAATATTTTTTTGAAAAAATAAATTATTTTTTTAGAAAATAGTCTTTTTTTCTGATTTTTTTTTCGGCCAAATTCCGGGGTTGACTTTTTTTTTTTTTGAAAACTTTGTTTTTCTGAATTTTTTTTCCGGCCGTTCAACCGCCGTTGACCGTCGGGTTTTCGGCGTTCACTTTTTCTTTTTATGATTTTTTTCTTCAAAAAATTATTTTAATTAATATTACTGTCTTGATTGCTAAATTACTGTTTCAGACTGTAATATTACTGTTTGGGACAATAATATTATGAATATTACTTTCCCGACAGTAATATTATGCAATAATATTAGTGTTAATATTATTGCATGAGAGAGTAATATTACGATTGGAGACAATAATATGACAGTCGAAGACAGCAAAATTGTAGGCCAAGACGATAAAAGTAATTAATATAGTAAAATTATTGTCTTAGACAGTAATATTACTGTCTAAGAGAGTTAAATTACTGTTTCGGACAGTTAAATTACTGTTGGAGACAGTAATTTAGCAGCCATGACAGTAATAATAATTAAAATATTTTTTTCAGGAAAAAATCTAAAAAAAAAAAGAAAATAAGAAAGTCAATAACAATTAAATTACTGTCTCCGACAGTAATTTAGCAGCCAAGACAGTAAGTAATATTAATTAAAATAATTTTTAAGAAAAAAAAATAAAAAATCAATAAACAGTTAAATTATTGTCTTCGACAGTTAAACTACTGGTGGAGACAGTAATGTAGCAGCCAAGACAATAATATTAATTAAAATATTTTTTAAGAAAAAGAATAAAAAGTCAATTAACAGTTAAATTACTATTTGCGACAGTTAAATTACTGTTGGAGACAATAATTTAGCAGCCAAGACATTAATATTAATTAAAATACTTTTTTTGTAAGAAAAGCAAAATAAAAAGTCAACGCCAGAGACCCCGCGGTCAACGGCAGTTGACCTACCGGAAAAAAAAAGTCAACGCCGGAGAACGGCGGTTTCCGGCAATGGCGGGTCAAAATTGATTAACCGGTAAAATTGGGCTAAATTGAGGTGTAAATCATGAAATTGGAGTTGAATTGGGTTTCAATGAATTAAGGGTAATTTTGGTATATATGAAAGGGTTTTCCTTATTTACAAATAAAGTTTGAATGATCTGGAATTATTTGAAAGACAAAAAAATTGGATGACCATTTTTAATTTAAGTGTCTTTGTCATGGGACTCTTTGCCATTAACCCTTAATATATACGTAGAGCAAGTGTTAATAGTCGAGGGATGTAAGTGCATCTAACCATTTTTCAATACAAGTTCATAGTTTTAGAATGTAATAATGTTTTTGATATTTTAGCAATGTTATCAAATCTTGACTGTACCGGTCTGTCGGATCGGTTCGTCCACGAATCGGTGCTGAAAGCGGTCCGATCCAATCCCTAAAACCAGGGTCAAAGGTGGAAATCCCAGTTCGACAGGGTGAAACCGGGAAACCGGAGAACCGAATTTTGGTGTTTGATGGGCAAATCTCTAAACTAAAAAAAATAGAGAATAAAGAAGTAATGGTGCGTAATTGAGATGGAGAAATAAAGGAGAAAAATATGAAATGAGGGGTCAATCTACAAAGAAAGAAAGAAAAAAATATGGAGAGGGAACTATGCGGTGTCTGCGCGTGAAGATGGCGAGGAAAATATAAACAAATATTATTGAAAACTATATTAAAAAATGGCTAAATACAATTACTCCCCCTAAAGTATGGGCTTTGTAATGTATTGAATGTACCGGTTACCTCTTATGATTTTAGTTAAATGTTAAAACGTTGACACCGTTACATTAATAAGTGAAAACCTGCAATGAAGCATACGATATTAAAACAAAACATACTCGTCTAATTCCTATGGTTGAGTATGTTTTTTGCCGTAACAAAATGAAGCTTAGCTCCTATTTTTGTACTGAAAATATGTAGATAGTATTTGATATAAAAATATTGCTATTTTTTAGTGTTGGAACTTCGACTGCACTTTGACGATCTATCACGAAATTGGCGGATTGAAACTCGTCTCTTTTTTCATAGTTGATAATCAACTGCAATAATACACACAATAATATGAAGAATTAAAGATAGGCAAGGTGAGGCGCGGACTACGTCACTCTCTTAAGACGAATTTCACGAGCCCTTCTCTATTGAGGTATAGAAAGGATGCGACCTATTTTAACTGATTCAGGATTAGTTAACTTCAATTAGTTAACTTTAAACAATCCATTATATGTTTTCTTTTTTATCTGCTAATTTTTTTTTTCCGGTGGTGGATCGTCCGAGATCCGATTAGGTGACTTAGCATTAGTTAACTTCAATACTTGATAATTAGTTAACTTTAACATTGATAGAAATGTTTCTTTTTTCTTTTTAGAAAATAAAATGTATTTATTTTTTCTTTTCTTTTTCCGGCCGCGTGTCGTCAGAGCTTCAGTTAGATGACTCAACATTAGTTAACTTTAACATTGGTAGATATGTTTATTTAAAAAAAAAAAAAAATTTGTGTAGAAAAAAAAATCATAAATTTTTTTAATCTTATTTTTAACATTTGGGTCAACCCAAGGTTTTTAACTATTTAAAATTCTAATTATTTTATTTGTTTTAATATTTAAAATTTACTATTCACTTTGTTTTTTTATCTCCTCTCTCCTCTCTCCCACCTTCTTCCCTCATCACTACTGCACACAGACCTCCTTCACCATCATCTTCATCACCTTCTTCACCTCCACAAAATCCACTTACACCCTTCAATCTCTCTCTCTCTCTCTCTCTCTCTTACCAACAATTATTTTTTTCCTCTACACCAAATTCCGGCAACCCAGATCCAGCCACCCCGCCGAATTCCACCCAAATCCCGCGACCAACACCCACCTCCAACGCAGTGTTTTACACAAATACTAGAGTCAATGGCCGGTTTCCGGGTTCACCGGTTTCGTCCGGTCCAACCGGGGTTTAATCATTTGAACCGGGTTCTTAGTTTTTCTGGTTTTAGAGGTCGAACCGGGCCGTTTTTTCATGGGTCGCGGTCGGACCGGCCGGTCCAATCCGGTTCCGACAACAGTAACCCCTTGATTTTTAGAATTAAAAAAAGAAAACAGTAACACGTTTTCAGTTCTGGTAATAGAGCTTTTTTCCTTGTTTTGGCTAAGAATGAAGAGAAAAAAGAGAAAAAAAAAAAAAAAAAAAAGCGGCTGTACCACCGGAATTGCGAGCCAATCAAAGCCAAACCACTTTTCTTCTAGTCGAACCGGATTGGGCCGAAGAAAGAAGCATAGCGTGGTCTGCTTCGTATCTACACCCGCGTGGCGCCACGTGTACACTCCTGTAACATCTCCTTTTTATTATAATATTATATTATTTTTTATTTATATATACACACGTTAGTAATCGCACATATATATGTTATTATTTAATTATTTTTGTTTTATAAGGCACAGCAAATTTACTCCCCCAAAGATGAAAGATTCCAAGATACAGATTACCCCTCCTCCTCTATTAAGTGAAAACACACACACACACACACACACACACACTGTGAGAAACAAGAATTTGCTGGGGATCGAGTAGAGGCGGCTGCTTTTTTTATCCACAGAATAATTACAAAAGTTTATTTTATTTTCTCTCTCTAGAAAACAACAAAGAAAAGGGAGAGAGAGAGAGAGAGAAAGAGAGATTTCCGTTTGTTTACCGAAAATGGGGAGAAAGAAGCTGGAGATCAAGCGAATCGAGGATAACAGTGCGAGAATGGTTTGTTTTTCCAAGAGAAGAAATGGTCTGATTAAGAAAGCCAAGGAGTTATCTGTTCTTTGCGATGTCGACGTGGCTGCCATTATCTTCTCCAAGAGGGGAAAGCTTTATCAGTATTGTAGCGCCGATAGGTAATTAACACCACCTAATCTGTTTTTTTTTTTCTTAATTATTTTAATTCTCTTTTTGTTTATGTATATACAGTTGAAATTGTTGGTTGATGGGAATTTCAAAACCCTAGTTCTCTCATATTCCTAAAATAGAAGATTTCGAGATTTTTAGTAACCCGATTACGATCTTTTAGAGCAAGAATTAATAAGAGGATCGGATCTTGAAAATTCCCTAGCGTGCCTCTGTCTTTCAAATGCCTCCATGTGGGTGTTTTTGTTATTAGTTAACTTTGGACTGTTATTTGTTAATTTTTTCAAACAAATGTAGTAAAAGTCCAAATTCAGTTAATCAAATATTGTTTTTATGCCGAACCTATAGACGAAACTAAAACCGAAACCGAAACCGAAAATAAAACAAATTCATACCAAAATGGATTAACATCGAACCGACAAAAAACCGAGATGTTCGGTTCTTAAAATATGAAAAACCAATATTGTTGGTACGTGTTTGGTTTATTGCAAAAAACCGAACCGTACACACCCCTACACAACATTAGTGTTTGTCATTCAATCATTGAAAAAAAATGATATATTAACTCCTTCGGAAAACAATTGTTTCATATTAGTATTTGTTAATAGTCATGTGCTTTCAGAGCCATCTTAAATATTATATTGTCACGAGTTATCCTCGTGCATATGACAACGTTTTGTTGAATCACATTTAACTTTCCATCTTTGTATAACGTTTCATAAATTATTTCATAATAATATTATTGTTTGTAGTGTTAAAAAAAAATATTATGTTTAATGCTTGTACGTACTTTAACAAATTTAATATCACTAGAGAATATTATTGTTATTCAACACAATTAATTTATTATTGAGATAATAAGAATATTGTTTGATTCTTTTTACCATGTAAAGTATAATTTCAAAATAAATAAGTAAATAAAGGATTAAAAAACAGGGAAGGACAATAAGAGCAAGGTGTTACTTAAAGGTGTGTTTGATATTTTTGAATGTTAACTAATGAAAGTTGAACAGTTTGCAAGCAAACAATTATTTCTAATGTCTATATTAAATTATATGATCGATTATATAAAAGAACAGAACACTTCTATATATTGAGTATATTTTTATAGTTTAATATTTGCTTTTAATTTAATATAAATGGTATGTTAAATAGCACTTGACAATCCTGTGGTTCGGACTTCATGCGCATGACTCTCTCTTATAGTTTCAATATAAGCACATGACCCGCACATGACCCCCCATAGTTTGAACTTTGTACAAATAACTCCTTTATACTTTTAATATAAGCACATAACCCCCTTATGATATTTCACGTGGTAAATAATCATCTCCATTAAAAAGAAGAAATTATTGAAAGTAAAGGGGGTCATGTGCTTATATTAAAATACGAGTGGTTTATATGCTATATTGAAAGTACCAGGGGGTCAGGTGCACAAAGTCCAGACCACAAAGGATAATTAAGTGCTATTTACCCTAAATAATATATGTGATGTTGCATTTGCAGTATACCCTCAATAAAAGATAATGTTCAACAATATAATAAACGTAAAAGTTCAATCTTTTAGCACACACTCTGGATATTATCAAGTTTTGGTCCTTCCATTAAACTTTCTTTTATTTTTTTCAAAGTTCAAGCTATATAGAGAGACATATTTTGCATCTGATGACTACATTTGAAAAAAACCAACAAAAAAAAAAAAAGGAAAAAACCCAAGGAATTAAATGGTCTCGAACGGGTAATTTCACGACCCTCTACGCAAAACGTGTCTTGTTGGAAGAAGATTATTGTACTCGAGCTTCCAAGTTAACACTGGCTGCAAGTTCTTACTCGTAATCGGCATATCCTCTTTTGATCATGTTTTCTTCGACTGATCATGAATTCATTTTTGCACCTTGATATCGCTTTTCTTGTTCTCTTACGCCTATCTTACATTAGTTCCTATGTAACAAAAGTGTATTACAATCCTCACTTTTTATTTTAGACGTGAAAACTTGAGCTTATTTAGAGTGTCACGTTGCTTATTGGTTGGTCGATTGGTCACATTTTAAGACTCTCATATATAAGCGAAGATTTATTTTTATTTCATTTTTTAATCAAAAAAAGAAAGAAAAAGGAACAAATGGATATTATATGTACTAGCAACATATTGTCTGTTTGTAAGGAATGAATGTACTCTAAATTCTAGACAATTTAAGAATGTTTCCTTTTCTACTTTCCAACATTCCATATTTGATAACGTACATATGATTTTGTTTCTTAGTGAAAGATCATGCCATTTCTTGTTTGCCTTAACTTTATTCCAATTGCATTTTTATTCTTCTTTTGGTTTTACCTCAATATTATTTTGTTTTGGCATGAGCATTATAATACCTTGATCATGTTTTACTGTTGTTATTAAACAGCATATCGCAGGTCCTGCAAGAATATAAAAGTCGAATCGAGAGTGAGAATGATGGTTGCGATACAGAGGTAAGATTTACGCCCGAAGATGGATTTCGAAAGAAAAAAAAAAAAAAAAAAAAAAAAACTTAATACTCAGGTCTTACTCAAGATTTATATTGTCAAAACATTGATCATTAATGAAATTTGAAATATTATCGCTTATCAATTAGGTAAGATAATTCCGTAATTTTTCAAGAATGTTATATGACTGTTGGTCTTTTGTCATTTAATCTGAGAATAGGAGTTCGATCGGATAATTCAACTTCACTCTCGTATATGCATAGATGGGTGATATTATTAAATACATGATTTTGATTGATGTTTATTCGTTGAGATATGTGGTGTTTGGAATTTTTATAGACATCGGTCTCGTGTGATGTTTGAGGCCTAATAATTCTTCCAAAGATAGAAATAAATCTACTAGCGGACGTGATTCATTACTTAGAACTAAAGTAGGAAGGCAATTTTTTTGTTTGAAGTAAAGTCTCTTAAGCTCCATTTGGATATGGACCAGGGATTTCAAATCTATAGTAATAAATCTCTTGCACTTGTTTGAACTGAGAGATCTGATGAAGAATTTCAAATCCACACTCCACCATTTTAGTTATAAATTGGGTCATTCGTGTGGATTTCAATTATCTCAAAATTGGAGTTATTCTAAATCGTTATTTCAAATTCATTCTCCAAATCAAATCATTCCACCCAAATGGCGCCTTATGCACTTTGGACTTAGGGATTTGAAACGAGAGATTTGTAATCCCGCACAATTGCTCAAAAAACAACTGAAATGATAGCATTGGATATGAAATTCCTAAATCAATTCCTTTCTAGCCGAATGTACCGTAAGTTTAAATTTTCATTTGCAATCCCTTCTTTTTATTCTTAATTTACTCGTTCTTAATATATGCCTTATCTCGAGCTATTGCTCTCTAAGTCACTATTTGTTTTCTAGTGTTCCTTTTTTCGAAAATCTACTTAGTTTCATGACAATGCCTACAAAATCTGGTCAGATGACAGAAGATTTTTTCTATTAGTGCTCATGATACTTTGATAGATGGTTTTGAATCTATTGCCGTTTGCTCGCTCTCTTTCTCGATCTGTGATCTGCTAATCTTCTAACACGTAACGATAAATTAGTCGACCAACATAGTTGATTTTAGTCAACCACCAACATCCATTCATATATACATTTATTTATTTATATACGTAACAACATATTAGTCAGTAGTCCACCTAGCTCTGAGGTCGACCTACCTAATTAACCATATTAGTCGACACAAAATTAGGTCTTTGTGAAAAGACGAAAAAAAAAATACGGAGTAGAGGAACATTTGTATAAAATTTGGATTCCGAGTAAAGACAAAATCAAAATATAGGGTCAAGTTAAAATGAAAATTTGCTGACTAAGGAGGTTCAATACTTCTATAATATATAGACACCAATGCTCACCTCAAGTTGGAACTGCTTAAGTTACGTAACACTCCCCTCGAGCTAGAGTCTATGAATAAGTAGATATTATTAGTTCATGACTACAACAATTTCTTCATTACCTAGGGTTCCCACAAGTAGCAGAATCGATAGCAGTGTAACAAAAGACGGAGCAGTAAGAGCTGTAATAACAAGATTCAAGATTAACAGCATAGAGGACAACACGAAGATTGTCACAAAACAAAGAGGACTACTCGGAAATTATGGTTACAAAGTAGATTTTGAGATTCATTTTCAAAAATTTCGTTTTTTTTTTTTTTTTTTTTTGGGTTTTTATATAAAAAATCCAACTCTCCCTGGATACACTCGACACTCGACAGTCGACACCATGTCAATATAGAAAAGGCAGGGGGTTGGTCAGACGAAATATTATAGAAATGCCAGACATATAATAATATTATAGAGTGAGCCGACTCTCTTTATAAGAGATGGGAACATAGTTGTAAATTTGTAAAAAGAAGAAATTCTTCAAAAATATACACACTAATCTACATATAAGGGCATTCATTTCACAAGGTGATTGATTGGCAGGATCTGTACTCCAAAAACGGTGATTATCTTACATATGGTGAGCTTCTCAAAACTGTTGGAAGGTAACTCCCGATTTCTGAATAATTTTATTTTGTTTTTGTTGCAAAGTTTTCGGGGTTGTCTACTCACAAGTTATATTTCTTCCGATAGTGAACTTAAGGAGCCACGTGTTGAGAAGCTAAGTGTGGCGGACCTTGGTCTCATGCAGAAACAACTTGAGACTGCATTAATGGAGATACGTTTGACTAAGGTTTCATCTTCACTCTCCATCATATTTTGCAGTCCCTTTGTATATTCTACTAATTTGTTTACTCAATGAACTGTAGAAAACAAATGTGACCCCAAACATATAAAGTGCACTTAAACAAGTATTCTGCTAAGAGAAAATTCATCATACGGTCATACCTCATTCAGACCAGCAGTTGTTCGATTCTCTATGTTTTTCTTTTGAACCAAGCAAAGCAATGATACATTTGTCTTAAAACATTGATATTCTCGTTAACTTTTATCTCATATAGTTTGTTCAAGAGTGGGTTATGAATGTGTGTGTGGTATATCAATGCGATTTCATGAACTAGAGAAGTCAAATTCATATAGTAGTTTTTGTTTACCTTTTTGATGAACTGAGCTTATGTGGCAAGAATGTTCGAACATCAGTAGACTAGTAGACTTCTTTCCAGTTTCTTGTCAACCTGTAAAAACATATTAAAGTTAATTTCCATCCATACAACATTGTGATGTCAGAATTTATTAATTTATTACTTCATGCAGACAAAAATGATGACGGATGCTCAGTCAAGCCTTCAGGAAAAGGTGCGGAAATCTATTTTTGCCACTATTATATTGCAGGGAAATTGTTGTTATCCGAGTATTCTCCAGTGTGTGTGTGTGTGTGTGAAAAAAGATAAAAGCTTAGATGCATAGAGCATGTTATTGCGGACAATTGGTTCATGTGAAGTAAGATAAGTGCTTATATTATGTGAACAGGAAAAGATGCTGGAAGAAGAAAAAAAGAATTTCAACGAGGTTATTAAAGTTGAAACCCTGCATATATATATATATATATATATATATATATATATATATATATATATATATATATATATTATGATGACACAAATGAATTTATTAGACACAATTGTTTTACATATTACAGATTGTTGAAGGCAATAAGTGTGCTAAGAAAAAGAAGGTGGTGATAGATCTCAACATTGCCGCAGACGGCTAAACGACAAATAGAAGCATACAACACCGGACGGACCTCCTTCAAACTTTTATGTGTAAAATAAAAATAAATAATCTGCAGAATCATAAAAATGCATGCAGGTATAAATAAAAGCTGCTAGAGGAATATATACCTCTTTATTGTGAGCGAGGCACTCGTTGCATGGTGTAAGCTGCTTGAACCCTCTTCTGTATCACCGTTAAATATTGCTCTGTTTTTACGCTTGAACATATATGGAAAATATATATGCTTTGCTTTAGCCCACGCCTCTTTTATCATTGCATACAAAAAGAAAACTATCTCCGCAAACGTGGTGGAATAATCTTCACCTGAAAAATTAGGCTTCCTTTAGTTGTTGACGTGGATTCACATTGTAGAGAGAAAAGAAACTAGATGATGAATGCATATTTTTCCTACTTGCTTTTAAACGTACCAAGTCGATGTTTTAAGGGAAGAAACATAAACAAGTTGGTTCTCTTCTTCCTATTTGGAATAGAGGATATTGTAAAGCTCAAGGGGAATATATAGTGTTCTTGATTTTCGGTGACTCTTAAGAGTGAGAAGATAAACACGGTATATTAACTTCCCACTTAACTAGAATAATTGATTTAACTTGCGATACTACTCCAGGATTTATACATTCTGGTCACCCGTATGCAAAGTGGTTTATGCATTATAACTAGCAGCTAATACCTGCATTCGCCATTTTAGTACTCACAAGTTCCACTCAAAATCCTACACGAGTCTAAAAAAATTCAATACTATTAGGAACATAGTTTTGGTGTAGAAGAGACCAAGAAAGAGAGATATTTAGTCGGCCCTGCATTTAGAAACATTGTGCTTCATGCTACGTGTTTTTGATGAAAATAGAGTTACGGGTTTTGGAGCAAGACTAGATTTTGGCCTTCTACATAGAAAAGAGTTCAGAAATTAAAAAAGAAAAAAAAAAGGGGAAACGAGCTTCCCTACAGATCAAAACAGACCGTCCAACTAATTGGTCCAAAGTTCTTGGAGTTTGATTAAACTACAGACCTAAATGTGGCACTGTCGAGTTGGTTTTCAAACCACGTAAACAGTTACCAAGTTCGACTAATAAGTTCAACCAATGGACCAACATTGAAAATAGAGATTATATATCATGTGAGTTCAGAGGCACGTAGCAACAATACCAAAAACATGATTCATAATACACCGGATTATTCAAAATGAAGAAAAAACAGCAAAATCCGATCCAATTTATCGTAATCGATTAGTTAATACATGCAAGAATGAGAATAGGCATTCTCAAATGGGCTTGAAAGGAATGGGCACATCCAAAATTGTCCCTTTAGACTAAAATTTAAACATAAAACGTACTTTTAATCAACATCTACTAAACGTTTAACTCTCCTACACTTCATCGTTTTCTTTCATAGCAACCTCGAGGCAAGAACTCCTCTTTATTGCATAGCATGTGACTCTAGACGAACATGAAATGTGTCCACAAAAAAAATGATATCAAACGAAAATAACAATAGTTAAAAAAGGTTCTCCTTGTCTCGTACCACATTCGACAATTTGATTTTGGCTCTATTTAAATCTTGATTCATGTATTAAATCACATTTGTACCAATATTGTCCATACACCAATTATTGAGCCTGATTAGACCTTTTGTGAATCTCTTTTCTTTTGTAAACCGCACAATGTTAAAGTCTCGAAAAAAAAATGCACCTAATACATGTTAAATAAGATAAAACTCATAAAATGGATTTCGGTAAGTCCCGATGAAGGTCCACCCCTAAAAGGCAAAGTGATTCTTCTTGTTAGTCAATTTGTCAATCACCTCTAAAGTGGTTCTATTATTTTCTTGAAATTGTTGTCGAGCAAAGGGACTTGAGATATTAAAATTTGTAAGAGACAAGGAAACGTACCTTTCGAACTTGTTTCCAAAATCCAAAGTACTCAAAAATAGCACCAAACAACCATTGGAAACACATTGCTTCATTTTAGCTCATCTTTATATTCTAGCATCTTTTCTAACACCGATCCTAACGTTTCAACAAAAATAGAACAATTCACGAGGGTGGAATACCAATCTTAACTGCTTACTTTAGTATCTCTTATTAGGGCTCTATAGATACGCCTAACCGTTTTTTGAACCCATATATGAAGTATAATATGCTGTAGCTTCCCATCCCTCTACACTTTCCATACGCCTGAACATTTTACATATCTCTACACATGCATGAGATGCAAAATGTGCTTCGAATCGAAAATGTTGAAACGAGAACATATTTGATATGTAATTCAATACTCTATTTCTTTTTGCAAGCTTGTTAAAACTAGAGTCTCTCGTATTTGCAGGACACGGAACAAACGAGTGCAAGACGACTTTCTCCATTTTAAATAAAAGACACCATGACAGCCAAAGGAAGAACAAAGCACATATCCTGCCAATTTTTACAGCCTCATATTTTATTATATAATATATATTCCTTCTGCAATTCTACACACACACACACACACACACACACACACACACACACACACATATATATATGTATTACACACATGGATCTCAGATTCAGACTTTTGTGGAGAAAATATGATTTGTACACGAGTTCAGAAACAATCAGCCCAACTTGTTTGAGATTCTTTTGTATTTCTTCTCTTATTCACACACACACACACACACACACACACACACAGACACACACACACAGACACACACACACACAGAGATAAATTAATCGAGCAGGTTAAAAACGAAGAGAAATAGAAAACCTCTTTGCATGGGAATAGAACATCACACAAGAATTTAAAATGGAGGAGCTTCGAATCAGTTAATAAACTTACATCAAATCCAAGTTTGAAGCTTTCTCTCTGCATATGCATCAAAACCCTTTCCGCTTGCAAAATTTGGAAAAATAAAATAAAAAACCCTAAAAAAATCGCATCTTCACCCACCCCACACGTCATCCCCTTTGGATAGAGGATTCAAGCTTCCATTACCCCTCTTCACGGAGAATTTCATTTTCTGCCGCTTTCTAAAAGTTGATATGGAGAAGGGCAGAGAGAGAGAGAGAGAGAGAGGAGAGAGAAAGAGAGAGAGAGGCGTAGAGATGAGCTATTATTAAGCCAAGTGGCTGATGCTTATATTATTATAAGCAACACCTTAAATATCCATCAAATAAAGGGTAAATTAACCAAGTGGCTTCAAAAGATTGACCCTTTATTACTTGTTCAAATTAAACGCACTACACGTGGCAGTTAATGCTTATCACAAGTATATATAAATATCCATCAAATAAAGGGTCAAATTTCACTTTCCCCCTTGTACTTTGGCTCGATATCACTTTACCCCCTTCTACTCTCAGTTGCATCCATTTGCCCCCCTGTACTTGAAAAATTGTCTCAATGTGGCCCTCGCCGTTAGTTTTCAGACCTTTGACCTTAGCACCGTTTGATCTAAGTCTGAAAATTACTAAAAAGGCACCCCTCCCAGTTTAAATAATTATACAAAAAATAAAATAATAGAAAAAATTCAAGACAACGAGAAAACATAGTCCACGACGCCCGCCACAATTTTTTGGTATTTTTTTATTTTTTAATAATTATTTAAACTGAGAGGGGGGGGTTTTTTGTAATTTTCAAACTTAGATTAAACGATGTTAAGGTCGAAGGGGTGAAAATTAACGGCGAGGGCCACATTGAGACAATTTTTT